ACAGCCAGGAATGAGATAGAGCAGAGAGCATAAAACAGGGGGCCAGCAGTTCTCGACTGAAGACCCCAAGCCAAGCTTCTCTGTATCTTTATTGAAAATTACCAGTAAGTAAATCACAAAGAGAATTAAATGCAAATGAAGCCAAGCTCTTTCTATTGAAAACCTTCTGCTTGACTCAGGAAGGAGGGGTTCACAAATGCAAGAATTTGGTTTACCCCCAACTATTAACCTTGATGCCTCAGGGTGAACTCCAGCTCAGGAAGCAACACTCCCTCTGTAGGGAACCCCTTGCTGTCTCCTGTCTTACAGGGAACAAACAGCTCATTTTCTAGGATCTGCCACAAGAGAAATCCTAACTTATAAATCTGTAATTCCTTCAATTCCTGAACAAGGGTTTTCAGATAATATTTGGTATAAAGTTGAGCTTCCCATAGGGAAGTACTGATGTCTAATTGAAGACTAAGGGCTGCCTGATTCAGGCCGTCATTTTTTCAGACACTTGCTGTGATCTGAAAGCTGGACAATGAGTAAGGATGAAGAATAATTGATGCCTTTGAGCTCTGGTTTTGGAGAAGAGCACTATATATCTCATGAACTGCCAAAAGAACAAACAGATAGGTCTTTGAAAAAGTGCAGCCGGAGTGCTTCTAGGAGGCACAGAAGACAAAGCTTTGTCTCACATACTTTGGGCATGTTATCAGAGAAGGTTATTCCTTGGAGAAGGACATCATGCTTGGAAAGTTGGAGGATTGGTGAAAGAAAGTTCCTCAACCAGATGGGTTGACACTGTGACTGTGGCAATGGGCTCGTGTGTGTCAGAAATATGAAGGTGGCACAGGATAGGACAGGGTTCAGATCGGTTGTTCACAGGGTCTCCATGAGTCACACTTGACTGCATAGTACCTAACAACAACACCAGAGGCTTATAAAGCTCATCATGAACCTTTTTTTAACAACAACATTACACTTTTATTAATTTCTTTTTCCACTGTTGCACATTTTTGTCTCCTCTCTTTCCCCCCTCTCCTCCTCTTCCCACAGCCTTCCCTGCAATGCATCCCTTGTTCCAGATTGTTGTCATAAACATTAACATTAAAATCTACACAACTGCATTAATAAGCAACATCATGGCGTACAGAGAAGAGACTGAAATTGTCAATGATTACGTTTTGCTTGAGCTCACAACAGCAGTTAGAAGACCTACAGTTGTCAGCCTCAGGGTGTTGTGGTGACTTATTACAACAAAGGCAGCCAACCTATGAGAGAAGAAAAACAAAATTACCACCCAGCACTTCAAGCCATTGTCACTTGACCCTGTAAAGTCCCTGAAAGAAGACTGTTAATAGGCTGGGACCGCTTTGTGGGAAACAGCTGTTATGGATTCAGTACTGTCAGAGAGGCCTCGACAGTGATAGCACCTGTATCCTATTTGCATATTGGTTGGGTGTTAGGGCACTCTCTCTAGTGGCATAGTCTGGAGGGAGGTGTGAGGCTAAAGTAAACGTAGCCCCTCTCTGGTGAGTCTAGTCCATCAGTTTCTAGAAGGGGGAAAGATGGGCGATCTCCTCCTGTGCGATTTACAGCCTCCAAAACCAGCTCAAGTGTGAGTCAGCCACAAGCTGGTTCTAACTGGATGGCAAAGAGTCAAGTTGTCGAAAAAGATGTGATCAGGTAAGTTTCTTAGGTCCTGCATGTTGTTGTTTTTATGTGCCGTCGAGTCGCTTGCAACTCATAGCGACCCTATGTACAAGAGCCCTAAACACCACTCTATTCTGTGCCAACCTCGCCATCTCAAACACACTCATTCCCACCACTCCACTCACAGAATCGATCCATCTCATCGAGGGTCTTCCTCTCCTTCGCTGCCCCTCCACTCTGCCAAACATGATGTCCCTCTCCAAGGACCAGTCCCTCCTTGCAACATGCCCAAAGTATGTCAGACAAAGCTTCAGAATCCTTGACTCCAAGGAGTATTTGGCTTCACCTTCTCCAGGACAAACCTGTTTGTTCTCCTAGCAGTCCATGGTATACTCAACACTCTTCTCCAGCACCACAGCTCAAAGGCATCAATTCTTCTATCATCCCTAGTCACTGTCTAACTCTCCGATGCATAGCACGTAATTGCAAAGACTATAGCCCGGATCAGGCACACCTTAGTCTCCAGCCTGACGTCGTGCTGGAGTAGGGGAACTTGAGGCCATTGCATTCTTTCAGGAAAGTTCAGAGTATTGCAGTGAGAACAGGCTTGGAGTTGATAATGGCTGACCTGCCTTCCATTCACCAGTCAATCCAACCTATAAACCCAGTTGCCTTGTTATGAGCCTAACAGTGCTCTGGTGGCCTAGTGGTAAGAATTCAGATTACAGTCCCAGAGTCTCATGTTTTGAATCCACCAGATGCTCTGAAGAAGAAGCAAAGGCAATTTCTTCCGGTGTGACTTACTCATGCCTCTGAAAATCCACTGGAGGGTCAGCTTTGGGTCGGTTTAGATTAAATGTCACACAACAACAACAAGGAAACTAGGAAGATAAAAATGAAAGGCCAAAGATACTGCTTACCTGACCGAGGGAATTAGGAAAATAAGGCAAGAAAAATCCAAGGAATCTGCTTACCCACACAACTGTGCACTCTGGCATCCTTCCACTTACTGACGTACATCTAACTATCTGTTAAAATGTAAAAAAAGTTACAAGAAACTGCAAGAGCCTGCATTAAGAGCGTGCTGGCTTAATGTCTAAAGTCAACATTGTTGTTTTTGTGAACTGTCGAGTTGGAACCCATCCATCACTGACCCTCCAGCGGGTTTTCAGAGGCAGGTAATTTGCACGGGATGAGATGGCCCGTCCTTCTGCCGCTGAGCAGCTGGTGGCCTCGAACCATGTGCCTTCGGGATTGAAAGCAGCTTATTGCTGCTACTTTTTAGAAGATAAGGAGGACTGGATGAAACTAGGTCACAAACACGTGCAGCCAGGAAAGAAGTGAGATGCGAACCAGAAGCCTGCATGGTGCATCCTATGAAACGCACCAACATCCCATAAGGAATCTCAACACCACTTCTCAGAATCCCTTGCACCTGACTCCGTCTTGAAGCTGTGTGCACACACAGAAGGAGAGTTGCAGCCGTCTGATCAAAGCTGTACAAACATCACTTCTCTTTTTTTCTCTTGACAAACACCCCTCCTCCTGTGAAACAGCCTTAGAAAAGATCTAAGCATGTGCTGCTCAGACAAGCACGCTTGTATTCCTCCCAGGCATATTCTCCTGCAGGGTTTTCTCATTCACCTATTGTTGCTGTTAGGTGCTGGCAAGTTGACTGTGGCTCTTAGCAACCTGATGAACTACAGATCTGAACCTTGGCTTATCCTGCACCATCTTGATCTCATACACAAGCCAACAGTCCTGTTGAGGGTCTCCTCTCTTTACTCAACTGTCTGTCTCTCCCAGCATGATGCCTCTCTGCAAGGGCTGGTTCTTCCTTAAAATATGCCTAAAACTACATCAAGAAAGTAGTAAAGCAGGCATCAGAAGGGCCCCTCAAGGGCATCCTAGGGTACACTGAAGACCAGGTTGTCTCCTGTGGCTTTAATAGTGACACCCACTCTTCCACCTTTGATGCTGGGGCTGGCATTGCTCTGAACGACTACTTTGTCAAACTCATTTCCTGGTATGGCAATGGATTTGGCTACAGTAACCAGGTGGTCAACCTGATGGTTCACATGGCCTCCAAAGAACAAGAGCCCCTTGGACCACCAGCCCCAGCAATAGCACTGGGTGGGGGAGAGAGAGAGAGAGACCCTCTGCTTGGGGAGTCTTTGCCCCAACTCGATCCCCTCACACACTGAAACTCTCACATCCTTGACAGTTTCCATCCAATCCCCCTGAGAAAGGGGAAGGGCTTGGAAGGCCCATCTTGTCATGTATCATCAATAAAGTACACTGTACTCAGAAAAAAAAGAGAAAAAAAGTCTAAAACTAAGCGAGAGGAAGTTTCCCTTCCTCATCCGTGCCTCTAAGGAGCACTCTGCTTACACTTCCTCCAAGACAGATTTGTTTGTTCTTTTCTCAGTCTATCAGACATACTCTTCACCAACACAATAATTGAAAGGCATGAATTATTCTTCCTTCTTCCTCATTCATTGTCCACCTTTCAGATGCATAGGAAGTAATAGAAAATACCAAAACTTAGACCTTTAAACTGACTTCTTTTTGTCTTGAAAACTTTGGAGAGGTCCTTGGTAACCGGTTTCCCCAATGCAACACAGCTTTTGATTTCTTGACTACTTCTACCATGGTTGCTGATTGTGGTTCAGAGTAAAATGAAATTGTTGACAATTTCTGTCTATCATGACATTGCCTATTGGTCTAGTGGTGAGAATTTTTATTTTCTTGATAGTGAGCTGTGACCCATATTGAAGGTTATATAGTCTTTAATCTTTTGCAGTAAGTATTTCATGTCCTGTTCATGTTCTGTAAGCAAGGTTGTGTCATCCGCATAACGCAGGTTGTTGATGAGTCTTCCTCCAATACTAATGCCACATTTTTCAGAGAATCCAGCTTCTTTTTTTTTATTTGCTCAGCATATATATTGAAGAGGCATGGAGAAAGCATACAATCCTGACACAACCTTTTCCTGATTTTATACCATGCAGCCTTGCCTTATTGTGTTTGGGTAACTGCTTCTTGGTCTACTTATCAGTTTCACATGAGCACATTTAAGTGTTTGGGGATTGCCATGCTTCTCAATGTTAGCCATAATTTGTTATGATTCATAAAGGTATAAATCTGTATCTCTCTTATTATCCAATAAATCTTTATCTTTCCTTTTGCAAAGTTGCCTGTCTGGCAACAACATAAACTACATTTGAAAAGCACAGATTTTAAAAATTTAGGGATGAGGGGGGAGGAGTGGGCAGGGAGAAAAGTGCAACAATGAATGAATGACTGGAAACCCTAAGTCTCTGTTAACTTTCATTAAAATTAATTTAAAAATTTGGGATGCAATAATAACGCCTAAATTATAACATCGGAAGCAGGAGTGGCATCCATTTCCTAAACAACATGCCTCTGGAAACTCTATGAACTTTGAGAAATGGTAATAGTTATAGAAAGACTTCAGGTCTTTTGTTCATAGGGTCGCTATGAGTCATGCTAGACTTGATGGCAATCAACAACAATAACAATAAATTAGAACAGATTATGAGGCTGGCAAGAATAGGACAGAATTAATATCTGTTATGTATAGGGTCGCTACGAATAGTACTCGACTCGACAGCACCTAACAACAATAACAACAAATTGTAACATCAATATCTCCTTTTTTGTTTGGTTTTAGTTATGAAGGATTTTATTAACTTAGCTGCATCATTCCAAAATAAATGACTTATTACAATTGACAAACCTGTTATCAAGCACCTTTTTCAAGTGATGAAGAGCAAGAATGCAACTTTGAGGACTAAGGTGCAACTGGCTCTAGGCATGATACTCTCAATTGTAATATGTGTATGTGAAAGTTGGACAAAGAGTAAAGAATATCAAAGAATTGATACTTTTAAATTGTGGTGGTAGTGAAGAGTTTTGATTATACTGTGGATTGCCAAAAACCCAAATCTGTTTTGGAAGATGACAAGACATTCCCATACTTTGGACATGTTATCGAAGGGATCGGTCCCATGAGAAAGACACCATGTTTGGTAAAGTAAGGGGTCAGTAAAGAAAGGAAGATCCTCAATGAGATGGATTGACAAGTGGCTGCAACAATGTACACAGTGACGACTGTAAGGTAGGTCTGGACTGGGCTTTTTTAATTTTTGTTGCACAGAGGGTCGCTAGCAGGCAGGACCGTCTAGACAGCACCTAACGACAACCACTTGGATAGCAAAGGAAAGGATGTAAGTGAACAAAAAAGAAAATTTGAAAAAAAAAGAAATGTGGGTAAGTGGACCTGAGACAGTTTCTGAAAGAGAAAGAGGGTGTCTAAGACAGGTGGGGATGATCCTGCAGAGGCGAGAGAAAAGAAGCGGGAAGAGGTGGATTGGGGGAACCACAAACAAAGGCTACAAGTTTAGGTCGTGGATAGTGGTCCAGGGTGAGGTCCGGGAATTTGACGGGGGCACAGTTCTTGCGAATGCAACTGTCCAGCACTGCTGCACAGACCACGTTCCTGTTTCAACCCCCTTCGTCCTGCTTCCTTCTGGTGCCTCCTCGCCCCGCCACCCAATCGATGAGACGTTCGAGCTTCCGGCAGTCGATCTACCCAATCGCAACTGAGATACGACCGAGACCGGGACCAATCAGAAGCTCTATTACAACAAACTGCCCAATGGAAACACAACAGAGTAGAGGAACAAAAAGGGCAAAGGCATCAGGGCATGCGCGTTTCAGGCGACCAATGGGAGGCTGTGCCTCGGCGGGAGTGGGAGGGGCAGTCAGCGGAGGTTGGGCGGGGACAGGAGTTGGAACCTGAGTCCTGGGGGAAGGTGAGTCTGGAGGGAAACCCGGAAAGGGTAGGGTCCCGGGTGACACAGTGGTTAAGCAATGGATTTCGGTCAAATCGCCTGCTGCTTTGCGGAAGAAAGAGCAGGCAGTCTGTTTTCATAAAGATTTAGATTCTTATCGCTTCTCGGCCTTTTGGCTAAGATCAAGTGAAGATTTAGAGTCTTGGAAACCTTAAAAGGGGCAGTTCTTTTCCCTATTGAGTCTCTATGAGAATCATGTAGGGGGTGGAGGGAGTTTGTTATTGCTTTACTTTTTGTAAGGAGGGGGCCATTCCCGTTGGTGGACAGACGGGAAGGGCTCTCTACTGGACCGGAGGTGTGGACTGGCTGGACAGCGATTCCTAGGTCTTGGTGGGGAGATGGTCAGGATAGACCTTACCCACACTCGATCTTCAGAGGCCAGTGGGAAGGCGGAAGGAGGGGACTGCAACACCCTTGAACCCTCATCTTCAGGATCTCTTCCCAAAGTTTAACAGATAATAGTATTGTGTACTGTAGAGTCGGAACCAATTTAGAGCTAACCTTCTAGCGGATTTTCAGAGGCAGTAAAGTGCATGGGTGGAGATTGCCCATCTTTCCCGCAGAACGCTTGGTGGATTCAAACCCTGAACTTTTGTGTCGGCAGCACAACCCTTTCCCACTAATCCACAAGTGTTCCCTAATAGATAGTAAATTGTGCTGTTGTTTTGGACCGTAGAGTAAGGGCTGACCCATATCTGATCTTCCAACAGACTTTAAGAGCCAGTAAGTCCCATAGGAAGAGGTTGTCCATCTTACTCCTGGGGGCCAGCTTGGTGGATTCAAACCCTGTGCTTTCATATTGGCAGCATAGCTCCTGACCACTAGGCCACCAGAGTGCCCTAAGAGATAGTAATAGCAAGCATTTATTAACCATTTATTTACTGCATGCTTTGGTGCTGGAATCTGCATAGAATTGCTCTGCTAACCGCAAAGTGGTGCTTTTTTGGCGATTCACTTCCACAAGTCGCTCCAAGGGAGAGGAACAGGCGGTCTCTGATCCTGTGCAATTTACAGCTGCAGAAAACCTTCTGGAGGGTCAGCTGTTAGTTCCAACTCAGTAGCAATGAGTTCAAGTTTTTTGAGGGTTTTTTTCCCCCTGCATGCCAGACCCTATGCCAGACCTTGTTGGGAGTCACTCCCAGCAACTCTTGGGAGGTAGAAAATGTTACTTCCTGGGTTTGTAGATGAAGAAGCCAGCTCAGCCAGGGGCAGATTCCGGAAGCGCCTGGATTGGTTCTTTAATGACTGCCTTTCCACCAGCTTGACCCCGTTCTTCTAATCCACTGATGTTAGAGCCACTGATGTCCCTTCCCTGCCCATACCAGGGACTGGGTCACCCTCTTGGAAAATTCCAGAGGCTGGTTATAAGGACAGAGCTGAGCACCACTCCTCACAAGCTCCAAGGAATCAGGAACCGTGGGGCTCACTCCTGGAGGGTCGATGTGGGAGGCAGAAGCCTGGGCCTGAAAGAGAAAATCGATGATAAAAAGAGCCGTAGTGATTCTGTACTTGATTGCGTTCCTCATCTTTCCCCACACATACCAAGGCCTGTGCTGAATGAGGACCATGCAGAATTGCGTTGAGATGCCACAGCCATCCTTTGATGGCAACGCTCTCCACATTGCTGTTTTCTCATTGCGGATACTGAGGCCCAGGATGACTACGTGCCTTGCCTGAGTTGGCACAAGGGCCTCCAGGACCCACCCCAGGTTTGGCCTCTCTTACTTGCTTGGTTACCTGGGGGAGGTAGACCCAGCGGTGATTGTTATTTTACTGCCGATTGTCACGGGGGTGGTGGTCTGTGTGGTTAACATTCTTGAGTGATCTAGGAGGTGAGCACGTGTGCCCTGATACCCTTGAATAGATGCAGACAATCAGGCTGGAGGAAGAAATTTGGTCCCTGAAGTCACTGGAAGGTCGGCCAAAGAGAGGAAGACCTTTAACCATTTGGGTTGACAACAGTGGCTGCAGGATTTACATGAGTGTCAGTGTCTGTGAGGCCGGTGCAGGATAGGACAGAGTTCAGATCTGATGTTCATTCGGTCACTATGGGTCGTACTCGACTTGACCTAACAACAAAAACAGAATGAATGAAGGAGCCCTGGTGGCGTAGTGATTATGCACGCAGCTACTAATCAAAGAGTCTGCAGTTCAAATCTACTCCTTGGCAGGAAGATGTTGTGGTCAGCTTCTGTGAAGATGACAGCCTTAGGAACCGAGTGGGCAAGCTCTGCTGTGTCCCCTAGGGTCATGATGAGTGTGAGTGGACGGGATAGCCATGAGTGAGATCATGGGGGTAGGGGTCGTTGGCATGGGCCTCAGCCTGCCGATATAGAGACAGAAGATTGATGTGTTCAGGGTGGTCTTCAGAGGCTGCTCCTTTGCTGTGGGACAGACCTCACTCGACCCCATCCTCAGCGCTGAAGCCTGGGTACTGACAGACTGTCCATCTCCAGCCAAGCAACTGTCCAGAGGATGCCACTGTGTCAGTGGGCGACCACCACCCGAGGCAGCAATCCTGATGGGGACGGAGCACAGCCCATGGTCTCCTGGGGAGGCCTGCGGGTGCTTCTGCACTGGGCCGGCCCAGGTGGCGGGGATCCCTGGGTCACCTTCAGTGAAGCCACCCTGATGGCCGAGGAGATCTGCATCCACATCGCACACAAAATCGGTGAGTGGTGGCCGTGATCGACGTGGCCGTTCGGGGTGGGGGCAGCGGAGGCAATGGCTGGGTCCATCCTCCGTCCATCCCTTCATCTTTCTCTGACAACTCATTCAGCAGACACAGAGTGAACACCTACTGTTTGCTGGCCCCCAACTCCCCGCCCTGGTCGAGCTGGTGCCCTAGTGGGAAACAAAGAAAGGAGGGCGGGCTAAGTTTTTGTATGGAACACTCTGCAATGAAGGGACGTGGGGGGACTGGGGGTGGTGGAGAAGGCCTCCCTGAGAAGGTGATATTCAAGCGAAAACAAGAGGAGCAATGGAGATAGGTAGGGGGACAAGGTGCCAGGCTGAGGGGACAGTCAGAACAAAGACCCTGAGGGCGAGAGGGAGGGAGGAGATAGGGCCTTAGAGGTCCCGGGAGGATGTTGGCTTTTCCTAGAACGAAGTGGGAGCCCTGGAGAGGGCTGTGAGCAGAGGGTGCATGTGCATGGGCTCCTGTGAGAAGAACAGATTATGGGGGTCACAGAGGGAGCTGGGGGAGCCAGAGTGAGGCCACCTTCGTGTGGGAAGATGGTGGTGACCCCCTGCCAGTCTTAAATGCCAGAGAGAGGAGTTGAGAATTTATTTTAATTTTTTTAAATTTATTTATTTTTTAATTTTAATTTTTTTCGAATTTTCGAATTTTTTTTATTATTAATTTCAATGAAACTTTACAGAGACTTTGGATTTTCATTCATTCATAATCAAAGAGTCTGCAGTTCAAATCTGCTCCTTGGCAGAAAGATGTTGCGGTCAGCTTCTGTGAAGATGACAGCCTTGGGAACCGAGTGGGCCAGCTCTGCTGTGTCCCCTAGGGTCTCGATGAGTGTGAGTGGACGGGACAGCCCTGAGGGAGATCACGAGGGAGACTTTCCAGTCATTCATTGTTGCACTTTTCTCCCTGCCCACTCCTCCACCTCCCCCCTAGTACACTTTTCTCTTTGAAAAGTAAAAGAAAAATTCTTTCATTGTTATACAATCCCTCCCCCCAAGTCCACTCCACTGTGCAGCCTTCGCTCTGGACTCCTGTCGTGTTAATAATACTTAATCACATATCCCTTTTAAACAGTTTCCTCCCTCATCTATTTCAATGCAGTATATATTACTTCTCCTATCTTTCTCAGTCTCCCCCCAACTCCAATGTCAGTCCCGTTTTACAACAGTAGCACCATGCAGTATTTGTCCTTTTGTGACTGAGATATTTCACTCAGCATAATGTCCTCCAGGGTCACCCATTTTGAATACTATTTCACGAGCTCCTTGTTTTTCAATGCAGCGTAGTATTCCATTGTGTGAATATACCAGAGCTTCTCTATCCATTCGTTTGTTGATGGGCACTTAGGTTGTTTCCAGCGCCGTGCTATTGTGAACAAAGCTGTGATAAACATGGGTATGCGTTATTATTTTTTATGTGTGTACTGTCAAATCAGATCTGACTGGTACATGAGGACAGTGCCCCTCCTTCTCCAGCAGAGCTTCTGGTGGATTTGAAACACTAGAGTTTTATTTTATTTTGTGGGGTTTTGGTAGACATTTACACAGCCAATTGAGTTCCCATATGACGGTTTTCCCCACGTTGTTGCGGGGCATCGGTTCCACGTTTTCACAGTGTGCTGGTGCTCGCTGTTTCCAGTCTGTTTGCTCTGTGTGCCTTCATCCAGTTGCCTTTCCCTGTTCTGCCTTTACATCTTGGCCTGCGGGTAAATATCGGCTGTTTGGGCTCCTGTGATTGGTCATTTAAGGGAGCACATTACTCATGGGTGATACTGTTTATTCTATAAGCCAATCTTTTGGGCTGGAAGGAGCTCTGGTGGCTTCGTGTATAAAGGAGGAGTTGTACTGCCAACCCAGGCAGGTATGTGGTTCGAATCCACCAGCTGCTCCGTGAGAGGAAGATGGGCCGTCTCCTCTTGTACAATTTCCAGCTTCTGAAAACCTGCTGGAAGGTCAGCTGTGAGTTGGTTCTGACTCAGCAGCGTGTGATAACAACAACATCGAGCTGAAAGGGGACCTTGTGGAAGTAACTTCAGGGGCAAATGGCATCCGAGGACACTAGTCTTGGGGGTTCCTCTAGTCACTGTTGGACCAGCAGGTTTAGATTTTGAATTTTGGTTTGCATTTTCGTCCATTCTCTCTGGAAGCTTCTCTTGTGTTCCTGGCCAGAGTGGTCCGTAGTGGGAGCTGGGCACCATCTACTCCTCTGGTCTTGCCTTAGAGGAGGAGCTCTGGTCACGTGGTCCGTGGGTGCACCAGTAACCCCAAGCCAGTGCCTGTCTGGTGGTTCGGATCTAGCAGCAGCCGCTGTGGATGAAGATTGAGAACCTCATCCTCCTGTGTGATTTAGAGACTCTGAAGCCCCACTGGAGGGTCAGCTGTGAGCTAATGCCCCTCAGTGGCAGGTTTAGAAGAGGCTGTAGCTGAGATGGGCGGTTTCGTGGGTTGTTAAGTCTGTGGACTAGTTCCTTCTCTGACTCTCTGGTTTCCTTCATTCTCTTTGGCTCCAGAGAATCAGAGTCCAATAGCTGTGGAGTTTAGAGTTTAAATGTGCCTCCTGAGGGTCGTGGGGGCCAGCATGGCAGGACCTAGCCATTCTTCCCTGGATGAGCTGAGAAGTGTCAAAATGTGACTTAATTGTCAGAGGACAGGAAGGCCTCTCCCAGGGGTCTTATGCACCCCACTCTTCAGACAATTCTGGCCCTAGTGGTAAGAAGCTGTGCTGAGATGCCGAAGGCATATGGTTCGAATTTACCAGCTGTTCCATGGGAGAAGGATGGGCAGTCTCCCCCCATGAGATTAACTGCCTCTAAAAACCCACTGGAGGGTCAGCTACGGGTCGGTTCTGACTCGATGGTACACAACAACAACGCCTCCACACCCCTCACATCTGGGCCCTCCAGTAGATTTCCACACTGCCCTGCTCTTCACCGCAGTGACCATTCCTTAAAAGACTAGCACAGAAACAACAAATGCTGGTGAGGTTGTGGAGAAACTGGAACACTTATTCACTGTTGGTGGGAGTGTAAAATGGTGCAACCGGTATGGAAGGTGGTATGGCACTTTCTCAAAAAGTCACAAATAAAAAAAAGTAAAAAAAAAAAAAGTCACAAATAGAAATACCATTTGAAAGTGCAACAATGAATGAATAGAAATCCACAGTTTCTATAAACTTTCATTAAAATTAATAAAAATTGTTTTAAATAGGGGGAAAAAATACCATTTAACCCAGCAATTCCACTACTGGGAATATACCCCAGAGAGACCATAACTGACATCCAAGCAGAAATATGCACACCCATGTTTATTGTGGCTTTGTTCACAATAGCAAGGAGTTGGAAACAACCCAAGTGCCATCAACGAAAGGATAGAGAAGCTGTGGTATATTCACACAATGGAATACTACACTGAATTGAAAAACAAGGAACTCATGAAATATTATTCAAAATGGGTGACCCTGAAGGACATTATGCTGAGTGAATGAAGTATCTCACTCACAAAAGGATAAATACTGCATGGTGCCACTGTTGTAAAATGGGGCTGACATTGGGGTTGAGGGGAGACTGAGAAAGATGTGATAGATTATGTATGCTGCATTGAAACAGATGAGGGAGAGAACTGTTTAAAAGGGATATGTGATTAGGTATTATTGTCATGACAGGAGCCCAGAATGAAGGCTGCATAGTGGAGTGAACTTGGGGGAAGGGATTTTATAACAATTAAGGTATTTTTTTTTACTTTTCAAAGAGAAGAGTCGGGGGGAGGTTGGGCAGGGAAAAAAGTACAACAATGATTGAATAAAAATCCAAAATATCTGTAAACTTTCATGAATAATAATAATAATAATAATAATAAAGACTTGCACGTTAGCCAGGTGATTTGATACACGCCAGGCGGAGGGACCAGCAGGTGCAGAGGGCTCAGAGATCAGGTTCTGCTTGAGGAAGCAGAAGACCTTCAGAGGGACTGGAAAGTTTCAAGGGCTGGGAAGAGGAAGTAAGAACTGAAATGAGAGCAAAGTTGACAAGGGGCCACATCCTGGCCACTCTCTGCTAAGGGGGTTGGGCTCTCTCACGGAAGGTTAAAGCAGAGAATGAGATTGGTTCTGTGAGAAGTTCTGTCACAAGGAAAACATTCTCCTCCTGCTTGGGGGAAGTCCAGTCAGGTGCAGCAACCCTGAAGGGCAGTTTGATTTCATCTACTTGAATTGTAAGGAGCCCTGTGGTACGAGGGTTAAGGGCTCGGCTGCAAACCAAAAGGTTAGCAGTTCAAATCCACCAGCTGCTCCACAGGACCAAGAGGTGGCTGGCAATCTGTTTCTATAAGGAAGTGGTTGTTAGGTGCCGTTGAATCAGCTGTGCTCTTCAGCACTTTAATGAGGTCCATGGCAGCACATTCGCCCAGTGCGTTATGTCATTTGGTTTGACTCTTGCATGGGTCTTGTGGACTCAAGTAAAATGAAATCCTTGACAACTTTTCTCTCAATTTTTCTCTCCATCTATCTGGAGACTAAGGTAGGCCTGATACAGGCCATGGTCTTTGCAGTCATTTGCTATGCATCGGAGAGCTGGACAATGACTAAGGAGGATAGCAGTAGAATTGTGGTGCTGGAGAAGAGGATTGAATATACCATGGACTGTTAAGACAATGAACAGGTTCATCCTGAAGAGGTTTAAACCAGGCTACTCCTTGGACTCAAGCATTCTGACACCTCGTCTGACATACTTTGGACATGTTGCAATGAGGGACCAGTCCTTGGAGAGAGACATCATGCTTGGGAGGGTGGAGGGACAGCGCAGGAAGAGAAGACCCTCTGTGAGGTGGATTGATTCAGTAACTGGGGTAATGGGGGTGGGTGTGCTGGAGGCAGTGAGATTGGCACAGGACAGAGTAGGGTTTAGGGCTGTTGTACATAGGGTTGTTATGAGTCACAAGCGACTCAACGGCACATAACACCACCACCACATGTTAAAAGGAAGCATTAAGAGAACATGGAACTGTAATCCCAGAGGTACATGGTTCAAATCCACCAGATGCTCTGCTGGAGAAGGAGGGGGCAATCTCCTCCTGTACCAGTCAGATCTGATTTGACGGTACATGTAAAAATAATACAATAAAAATTAAAAAAAATTTAAAAAAGAACATGGAAAGACTGTGTACACAGTCACTGTACCAAAAAGAATTGGCTGTCACAGAAGAATTTCAAGAAACAACATAATAAAGAAAAAAAAAGAAACAACATATGATCAAGAGGCAATGGGGACATTCAGTCTACTCTAAAGGAATTGACAAAAAACAAGGCCCCTGGAATTGATGGAATGCCAGTTGATGTATTTGAACAAACAGATGCTGCCCTGGATGTGCTGACCAGGTTATGCCCTAAAATCAAGAGGACAACCACCTGCTCAACTGACTGGAAGAGATCCATATTTATTCCTATTCCAAAAAAAGGTGTCTGACAGAGTGTGGACATTATTGAACAATATCACTAACATCACACACAAGCAAAGTCCTCCTGAAGATTATCCAGAAATGGCTGGAGTATCGACAGAGGACTACAAGAAATACAAGCTGGGTTCAGAAGAGGTCATGGCACTAAAAACATCATTACCAATGTCAGATGAATCTTGGCCGAGAGCGAAGAGTCCAGAGGAATTTCTACCTATGTTTCTTTGACTATGCAAAGGCATTTGACTGTGTGGATCACAACGGATTATGGCTAACCTTGAGGAGAATGGAAATCCCAGAACACTTGATTGTGCTCATGTGAAACCTATACTCAGACCAGGAAGGAGTCCTCAGAACAGAGCAAGGCAACACTGAACAGTTCAAAATGAGGAAAGGACTGTGTCAGGGATGTGTCCTGTGTCCACACCTTTTCAATCTATTTGTGAAACATTAGGCTTTGTAAGGAGGAATGTGGCATCAGGATTGGAGAAAGACTCATCAACAACCTGCACGATGCTGACGAAACAACTTTACTTGCTGAAACTGAGGAGGACTTGAAGTACTTACTGCGGAAAATCAAGATCTTTAATATGGGTTGAAGTTCAGCATCAAGAAGACAAAGATTCTCACTACTGGGCCAGTTGTCAGCACCGTGATAAGATGGAGAAGACTATTGAGATTAATTATTTCAGTTTGTTCGGCTCTACAATCAGTACTTTTGGCACCAGCATCCAAGAAATCAGAAGACAAATTGCACTGGGAAAATCTGCTGTCAGGGACCCCTCCAGAGTACTGAGAAGCAACGATGTTAGTCTAGAGACCAAGGTGCGCTTGATCCAGACCATGGTCTTCGCAGTTACTTCTTATGTGTCAGAGAGCTGGACAATAACTAAGGATGACAGGGAAGAATCGATGGCTTTGGGTTGTGGTGCTGGAGAAGAGTCTCGGAACATACCATGGACCGCCAAGAGAGCAAACAGGTCTGTCCTGGAGAAAGTGAAACCAAGTTTCTCCTTGGAAGCAAGAGCTCTGTCTCACATACTTTGGACACGTGGCCAGGAGGGACTGATTCATCGTGCTCGGAAGGATTAAAGGACAACATAGGAGAGGAAAACCCCAATAAGATGGATTGACACAGTAACTAGGGTAATGGGGGTAGGTGTGTCGAAGTCAGACTGGCTCAGGACAGGGCAGGCTTCAGAGCTGTTGTACATAGGGTCGCTGTGAGTAGCAGGCGTCTAGATGGCATATAACAACAACATGATGTTGCCTATTGGTCCAATTGTGAGGATTTCTGTTTTTATTTATGTCGAGTGTAATCCGTACTGTACATAAGTCTTTGAACTACATCAGTAAGTGCTTAGAGTCTTGTTTTCTGCAAACAAGATTTTGCCATTGTCATAGAGTAGATTATTGATGAGTCTTCCTCTGATCCTGATGCCACATTCTTCTTCAGATAGTCCAGTTTCTGAATACAGACTGAAGAGATATGGTTAAAGAATGTAACCCTGGTCAGTCTGTCCTGACCCGTTCATAGTCTGTTATGAACGTCTAAATAAACCTCAGTTTCTCTTGCAAAAAAACAAAAACAAACAAAAAGAATACAACCCTGACTCACATCTTTCCTGATTTTAAACCACACAGTATTTTCTTGTCCTGTTTTAACAGTTGCATACTGGTTCACATACAGGTTTTGCATAAGTACCATTGAGTCTTCTGGGATTCCCATTCTTCTCAATTTTATCCATAATTTATTAAAAGGCACACAGTTGAATGTCTTTGCATAGTCATAGAACACAAGTAAACAACTCCTGGTAGTCTCTTCTGTCAGCTAAGCTCCATATGCCACCAGCAATGTCGAGTCTAGGATGAAATGTGGCAGCTCTAAACAGTCTTCTCTGTACCCCCTGAATCACATGTGCTGAGTGTCTACAGGAAGTGTCTAGTGGAGTAGAATTGCTTGGTCCAATAAATGCACATTGCAATTCAATGAAAAAACTTACCTGTTGCCATCAAGTTGATTACAACCTATGCTCCATGGCGTTTTTAAGACAGAGAACTACCAGAAATTCGAGCTGGATTTAGAGGAGGCTGTGAACCAAGAATATCATTGCTGATGACAGGTGGGTCTTGGCTGAAAGAAAATATCAGAAAGATGTTTATTGTGTTTTACTGACTACGCAAAGGCTGTGTGGATTATAATAAAATATAGCTAATATTAAGAGGGATGTGAATTCCAGAACACTTTAATTGTGCCCATATGAAAATATTTAGGCCAAGAAGCTGTGTAGTCTGACAGAGTGAGGAAACACTGAATGGTTTAAAATAAAGAAAGGTGTGCGACAGGCCTGTATTTTTTCTCCATGTCTGTTCAGTAGATTTGCTGAACAAATCATTTGAGAGGCTGGACTTTAAGAGGAGGAATGTGTGGGGGGAAATAATAAAAAAAAATAAAGAAAAAGTAGGACTGTGGCATCAAGATCAGAGGAAGACTCATCAGCATACTGCATTATGCAGATGACACAACCTTGCTTGCCAGAAAGATGGGATAAATTATGTATACTGCACTGAAACTGAGAGAGAGAACTGTCTAAAAGAGATAGATGATTGGGTATTATTGTCATGACAGGAGTCCAGAACGAAGGCTACCCAGTGGAGTGGACTTGGGGGGAGGGATTGTATAACAATGAAAGAATTTTTCTTTTACTTTTCAAAGAGAAGAGCGAACTGGGTGGGCAGAGAGAAAAGTGCAACAGTGAATGAATGGAAATCCAAAGTCTCTGTAAACTTTAATTAAAATTAATAATAATTTTTTAAAAAAAGAATAAAGTGTGCCTGATCCCAGGGGCAAGGAAGATGGCAGGAGGATGGAGTGATCAACCCAAAACTTACATCATTTTTGCCCACATCGTATTGGCCAGAAAACAGTTCATAGGCTTTGGCCCCATCCTCGCTGCAAGGGAAACTGGGAAATGTAGTTTTCTTGTGATGCCACAGCTGGGTTAATGCTTCTGTTTTCTTGTCTTCCGTGAGCATTTGTTGACAGGTGAGAAGGTTATGGGATGGTGTGCAAAGGGAAGTAGAAGGAGTAGAGGCTCATAGGACTGATGGCAGCAGACTTGACCCCTGACCATGTTTTTCCTCTGTTCTAGGCATTACCCCATCTTGCTTCAATCTCTTTGCTCTCTTCGATGCCCAGGCCCAAGTGTGGTTACCCCCAAACCATGTCCTGGAGATCCCCAGGGATACCAGCCTCATTCTGTACTTCCGCATGAGGTGAGCAAAGATCCCCTGAAAGGCTCTTTCCGTATTCTTCTGTTTACCTCCTTCCTGGAGCTAAGCTAAGCCGTGCTGACCCCGGGCCCCAGCACTGGGCAGTGGCCACGGGAGCCACAGGGCAGTGTGGTTGCACTCAAGAGCCCCCTCTGTGCCCCCTCCCTGCCTGCAGGTTTTATTTCCGCAACTGGCATGGCATGAATTCTCAAGAGCCAACTGTGTACCGCTGTGGGGTTCCTGGGGCTGAAGCATCTTCAGATCACGCGGACCAAGGGCTACAATTCCTAGACCCAGCCTCCTTTGAATATATCTTTGAACAGGTGTGAGCAGGGCTTGGGGTGGGGGGTGACTATTTGTGGGGACTCAAGAGCCACTGAGAGACATTTACTCCTACCTAAGTTCAGTATTTATTGTCAGTAGATTTCAACTCTTGCCATCTGGGAGCCTTTGCCTGTCTTATGCATGGAATGTGCTCTGATTGATTAGTGATGTCTGCCAGAGGCACGGAAGTTGGCAGAAGAGATATGCATGCTGCCTCTTTTCCCTTTCTGGACAATCACTGTTCACCCCTTCTCCAGGGTTTTCCAAAGGGCAGTGAGTGAGTTCTCACACCTCCCTTTCTGTGGTTCCTCTCCCTCCAGGGCAAGCATGAGTTTGTGAATGATGTGGCCTCACTGTGGGAGCTGTCGAGCGAGGAGGAGATCCACCACTTTAAGAATGAGAGCCTGGGCATGGCTTTTCTGCATCTCTGCCACCTCGCTCTCCTCCGTGGCATCCCCCTGGAGGAGGTGGCCAAAAAGATCAGGTGACCGGGAGTGGGGGAGCGGCTCTGAGTAGGGCTTGAAAATATCTGAGCTTCTGCAGCTGGGGAGGACCTTGCATCCTGGGCTTGAGGAGAGCCCGAGTGGCAGGGACCTGGGATTCAAGGCTTGCCACGCTGGTGGTCAGGTGCAAGGCAGCGGATGGTGGAAGGGAATGCACTGAAGAGAGGAAGGGGTGGGGGGACCCGATGAAAACACACCTAACAGAAGATATGTCACCTCAATAATTTCTACATGCGCCTATTGTTAAAGACCCCTGGTGGTAACATGGTTAAGTATTTGACCATTAGCCAGATGGTCAGCAGTTTGAAGCTACCTCTCTCCTCCTGCAGAGAAGGTGGTGGCCGTTGGCTTCTGGAGAGATTGACAGTCTTGGGAATCCTACACGCAGTTCTCTGTCCTGTAAAGTCGCTGGGTTCTGAATCAGTTCAACAGCAAGGGGAAAGTGTCTTTCTCTTGCTTTGTTGTTGTTCTTTTCTGGGAAGGTGTCTTTTATTAGTGATCACATTGATGATTTCAAAACAAAACAAAGCAATACCTGCTTCTCTCAAAATGCCAGAGACTCAGCCAGCCAGCCTGTTGTTGCTGTTGGGTTCCTGTCAGCCCATGGAGAATTCTGTTCCAGAGGACTGTCAGTGGCTAATTTGGTGGAACCATGCTTTTCTTCCTACGCACTTCCAGGTGGACTTGAACGCTCCAGCCTTCCAGTTAGCACCTGATCAGGTCCCTGATGCTCACGTGATTTGTTAGGTGTCCTCGAGTTGGTCCTGATTCATAGCGAGCCCATGTGGAACAGAACACACTGTCGCGCCTGTGCAAACCTCGCCTGTTGCCACTCTGTTAGTCCATTTCCATGAGGGTCTTTCCTCTTTTCTTTTTTTTTTTTTTAATTGTGTGTGTACCGTCAAACCAGATCTGACTGGTACAGGAGGAGATTGTTCCTCCTTCTCCAGGAAAGCATATGGTGGATTTGAACTGCGCACCTCTGGGATTGTAGTGCAGCTTCTTGCCACTAAGCCACCAGGCCTTCCCAAGAGTCTTCCTCTGTTTTGAGCACCTGTCAGCTTTGCCAAGCCTGATGTCCTTCTCCAGGGACTGGTCCCTCTTGATAAGTGACTTGCCCAAAGTCAAATCGGATCTGACTGATACAGGAGGAGATTGCCCCTCCTTCTCCAGCAGAGCACCTGGTGGATTCGAACCCACCATCCCGTCTTCTAAGGAACAGTCTGGCATATCACCCTCCAGAGCTCATTACATGTTAGAACTCCGGAGTCCCGGTGCCCGCACCACCCCGCCTGCCCCCCTCTGCTGGCCCTTCATGGTTTTCTTTCCACGTTTATAACGTGACACCTATTTTCTAAGCTCTGCGGCTCAGCAAGGTTAAGCCTCTGGCGCCTGGCCCCTGCCAAGCCCCTGACTGGCCCCCCACCCGTCGTCCCTGCAGCTTCAAGGACTGCATCCCGCGCTCCTTCCGACAGCAGATCCGGCAGCACAACGCGCTCACGCGCCTGCGCCTGCGCCGCATCTTCCGCAGGTTCCTGCAGGCCTTCCAGCCCAGCTCCGTCTCCCAGCAGCTGGTCATGGTCAAGTACTTGGCCACGCTCGAGCGCCTGGCGCCCCGCTTTGCCACCGAGCACGTGCGCGTGTGCCACCTGGAGCTGCGGACGCAGGCAGAGGGGGAGCCCCACTCCATCCCCGGCCAGGGGCAGGCTTCTCTGGACCAGGGACCCCAGGGGGCTGCCGGCTCCGCCACCTACGAGGTGCTGGTGACGGGCACCCGGGGCATTCAGTGGCGGCCGGTGCAGGCAGAGGTGAGCAGGGCATGGCGGCCGCCTCCTCCACTCTGGGGGTCCAGGAAGGGCTGGGGGTGGGCGGCCCTTGGTGACGTGTGTACTTAATGTATGTGAATGCCCAAGACTGGTTTCTTCCCCACTGGCTCCTGGAACTGTTTCTTGGGGAGTGACTTCATTTCTAGGGTCTGTATAGGGAGGAGCTCTGGAGAGGTGTAGTCCATAGGGATTTGTTAACAAAAGGGCTAATGCACCTCTCTGCTGGTTCGAATCCCCCAGTGGCTCTTTGGGGGAAATGGACAGTCCCCTGCTCAGTATACAGCCTTGGAAACCCAGTGGTGGGTCTGTTAGAAATTGCTCTGACTCAACGGTAATGAGTGAGAATCGTACCTCTGGAGAGGCGCATTCTTTTTTCTTCTTTTATTATTAATTTCAATGAACATCTACAGAGATTTTGGATTTCCGTTCATTCATTGTTGCACTTTTCTCCCCACCCACCCCACCCCCACCCCCAGTTCACTCTTCTCCTTGAAAAGCAAAAGAAAAACTCCTTCATTGGTATACAATCCCCCTCACACGCACCCCCATCCTGAGTATACTCCACTCTGCAACCCTCATTCTAGACTCTTATGATAATCATAATGCCCTAAAATCTATTACTTTGAAACTATTCTCTCCCTCATCAGAGAGGCTCATTTTTATTTGCCCTCCTGAGGGTCAGGCTTCTGGAATGGGCTTCCCTTGTCCTGCCCCTGGACCTCAGAAGCGGGATTCCCTGGGCTGGTGGGCAGGTGTCTGCAGCCTGGGAAAAGCACAGCGCAGGAAAGGCCTGACCACGCCATTCACCGCCTTGTGTGCCGGACTTCCAGGCTTCCTGTGACAGCGCGGGGAGCAGCAGGCGGCGTCAAGCCCTACCATTTGGGAGGAAAGCCCAGGTCCAAGAGGTGGACGCTCAGCCAGCAAGCAGGCCGAAGGGGCTCCCCTGGTCCTCCTTCTGTGACTTCCAGGACATCAGCCACCTGGTGGTGAAGGATCACCGTATCAGCGTCCACCGGCAGGACAACAAGTGCCTGGTGGGGCCCGGGGCTGGGGCCAGGCTGGGCCTGCAGGGCCTGGGACACCCGCCTGAAGGCCTGCTGTCCACAGGAGCTGACGCTGCCCTCCCGGGCCACCACCTTGTCCTTGGTGTCACTGCTGGATGGTTACTTCCGCCTGACGGTCGACTCGAACCACTACCTGTGCCGCGAGGTGGCTCCTCCACGGCTGGTGATGAGCATCCAGGATGGGATCCACGGACCCCTGCTGTGAGTGCCATCGGGGCTGGGGGACAGCCGCCACCCTGGCTGCCACCTTGAGCGCAAGACGTGGGGCATGCGTGACTTGGACATGGAGGAGTGTGTGTTCACGTGTGTACCTGTGCGAGGGCATGTGCACCACACGTGTGTGCTTACATAGGTGTACATGCCTGTGTTTGTACTTGTAAACGTGTGTATGCACGCGTGTACACACACACACTGGGGCTTTAGGGAGAGCGAGTCTGGGTGGTTGTATCAACATGGGAGTGTGTGTTAGGGACCATCCTTGTGCACATTGAGACATGGAACAGCTGCTTCTGGTTGTTTCTTGGTGCTGCTGTAACAGAAACCCCCCCCAGGCAGGGGGTTAAAGAACAGAGTTAGCTTCTCACACTTCTGGCCGAAAGTCCCCATCAGGGTGCCAGCCGTGTGTCACTTCTTCCTTGCCGGTAGCTCCGGGTTCATGTCCTCGGCTTGTAGGTGGTCCTCACATGGCACGTGGCTCCCACGTGTGTCTCCCCAAGTCCATTCTGGTCTGTTTATAATTGAGAAGTGATGACATTAAGACCTGCCCAATCAGGACGGCCAGTTACCATGCACACAAGTCCCTATTTGCAAACAGAATCCTCCTGACAGATGCCAAGGCCAGGATGGATCTTCAGAGGACATGATTATGTCTGTCCCATGGCTGTGTTGGGGGTCCACTGATGCTTGTGCATGGGACAGGATGGGTGACAAGGGGGACCAGGTGTAGGACAAGTGCTTGTGGGCCATTGTTCAGATGTCTGTGTGGGTACTTGGGCCTCTGCGGGCGTGTCTTCCAAGGCATTGCGCCTGTCACTCTGAGTAACTATTTTTTTTTTCATTTTAATCAAAGTTTATAGAGACTTAGGGTTTCCGATCATTAATTGTTGCACTTTTCTCCCTACCCACCCCCTGCCCCCCAATTCACTCTTCTTGAAAAGTAAAAAAAAAAAACTCTTTCATTGTTATGCAATCCCTCCCCCTAAGTCCACTCCACTATTCAGCCTTCATTCTGGACTCCTGTCATGACAATAGTACCCAATCACATATCCCTTTTAAACAGTTCTCTCTCTCTTCTGTTCCAATGCAATATACATCATTCCTCCTCTCCTTCTCTGTCTTTTCTCAACCCCAATGTCAGTCCCGTTTTACAACAGTGGCACTATGCAATATTTGTCCTTTTGTGACTGAGATATTTCACTGAGCATAATGTCCTTCATGGTCACACATTTTGCATAATATTGCATGAGTTCCTTGTTTTTCAATGCTGCATAATATTCCATTGTGTGAATATACCACAGCTTCTCTATCCATGCGTGTGTTGATGGGCACTTGGGTTGTTTTCAGCTCTTTGCAATTGCGAACAAAGCCACAATAAACATGGGTGTGTGTATATCTGCTTGAGTGGCAGTTATGGTTTCTTTAGGGTCACTCTGAGAATCTCTTAACGTGTGTGACTATATAAAGGCCCCTGTAAGTTGTCAGCTTGTGTGGTCAGCGGGCAAGCGTGTGATGTCCTGCGTGCTGCTGGGTAAGGATTTCTGATCATCAGCTTGTCTGGCTGTTGGCCCAGTGCCTGGATGTCCCTTCTCCTGCCTGGGACAGGGGACTCAGCCCCTGGAGGTGTCCAAGGTCATCTCTGGCCCCGGTCCTCCACCAGGAGAGGGGGAAGTGATGTTGCCCTTCTTAAGGCCAAAAGCTCTGTCATGTCTGTGGGCCGTGTGCATGTGGGAGCCCCTGAGGCCATGTCACTTCATACTTGCCTGTCTTTGTGACAGTTGTCCTCGCTGGGTGTGCAGCGTTGATGTCCCCACGTGACTCAGCTCCAGCTGTATCTGCGGTTGTTGTCTTTTTTGAGCTTGACCAGCTATCTATTCTGTGTCCAGCTGCTGTGCCTGTGTCTCTGGGTGTCTGCCTGTGACAGTTGTTAGGCCTGGGCCACTGTCACCGTGTGAGCCCCTGAGCCTTCTTTGTCCCACCTAGATGAGTGCCTCCACTCCTGGCAGGTTCCCTGCCTTCATTGCCAGGTGTGGGTTCCGCATGGCCCTGGAAGCCTGATGGTGTCCTTCTGTCCACCCCTCAGGGACCCATTTGTGCTGGCCAAGCTCCGGCCCGAGGACGGTCACTACCTTGTCCACTGGAGCACCAACCACCTGAACCGCCTCCTCCTCACAGTGGCCCAGCGTGACCAGGTGGGCCCGGGTGGGCCATGGGCAGGCGGGGTGGGGGTGGGGGGCCGGGGTGCTGTTGCCTGGATCCCCGCTGACACCCCTCAACTCCCAGCAGGGGTTGCGCCTGCGGAAGTTCACCATTGAGCAGCAGGCCGGCACCTTCACGTTGGATGGGTGGGACCGGTCCTTCCCCAGCGTGGGGGCGCTGCGGACGGCCCTGCAGGGCTGCTCGCTGCGTGTAGGGGACCACAGCTTCTCCCTGAGACACTGCTGCCTGCCCCGACCAGGAGGTACAGCAGGGGCCCACAGGGCGGGACTGGCCCCCATGGGGGGGGCACCTCAGTGACTCGGCCCCCCACCACCAGAGCTCTCCAACCTCATCATCCTGCGGGGGCCGCGGGCCGGCTCCAGGCCGCTCAAGCTCAGTCAGCTCAGCTTCCATCGCATCCGCCGGGAGGACATCACCCAGGTGTGAGCGTGGCCCGGCAGGGGCTGCTGGGGGTGGTACATGGGACCACAGTGACGTTCTCTCCCTCCTGTTCCCCAGCTGTCCCACTTGGGCCAGGGCACCAGGACCAACGTGTATGAGGGCTTCCTGCGTGTAGGGGGCGAGGGCCCTGAGGAGGACAAGGAGGATGATGGGGACCCCCCTGAGCCCAGTGGGGGCCGTGGGCAGGAGCTTCGAGTGGTGCTCAAGGTGCTGGACCCCAGTCACCATAACATTGCTCTGGTGAGTATGGCTGGTCAGGGGGCCATGGGGGGGGAGCAGAGCGGCAGCCACCTGACCTGCTCTGTTCCCGCAGGCCTTCTACCAGACAGCCAGTTGGGGGGTGGGAAGTGGGGGGGTGGGGAGCAGGGCAGCAGCCACCTGACCTGCTCTGTCCCCGCAGGCCTTTTACAAGACGGCCAGCAGGGGGCGGTGTGCGCGGGGAGCCCCTGACCTACCTGCTCTGTCCTGCAGGCCTTCTATGAGACAGCCAGCCTCATGAGCCAGGTCTCCCACGTGCACCTGGCCTTCGTGCACGGGGTGTGCGTGCACGGCTCTGAGAGTGAGTGTCACCTACGTCCACTGTCCCTGGTCTGCCTCCTACTCCCTGCTGTGCCCCAACCTTCACCTCCCCCTCCCCTACTGCACCCTAACCCTCAGCCTGCACCCCCTTCCCTAGCTATGCTTTGACCTTCACATGTACCACAACCCCTGGCTACACCCTGACTCCATTTCAGGCTCCAACCACCACCTAAACTCCTCTACCGCCCTGTGCCCTGCACCCTTCTGTCCAAGTCCATTAACACTGTGACCCCGTAGAACCCTAGCCCTATTCTCTTAGACTTCAGCTCTGTAAATGAACCCTGCTCAGAGTCCTACCTCTGCCCCTCTGCAGGTCCCTCAGAATCCCTGGGTCACCCAGCCCCCAGCCGCATGTCTCTTTGTCTCTTGCCTTATACCCCCCAGCATGGGCCCACCCAGACCAGTCACTCCCAACCCCACCCTGTACACCTCTGCCCCCTCCCCAAAACTCGATCCTGCTGGTTCCTGCTGCACCCTTACCACGTCCAGTTCACCTCTCCCAGCCCCAGCTCCAGCCTCACCCCTCTGCCCCTGCACCTACCTCAGTGCAGACCTGGGTGCATTTCTCTGCTTGCCCCCGCACCCCCCACCCCTGTCCTGACAACCACCCACCACAGTCCTAGTCTGTAGCCCCCTGCCTCAGTCCTGCCCTGGAATGTGGGTCCAGTGGGAAACCCCTGGAACATCTGGGCCTTCGCAGACATGCTAGTGACAGAGTTTGTGGAGCACGGACCCTTGGACACGTGGCTGCGGCGGGAGCGGGGCCGTGTGCCTGTGACCTGGAAGGTGGCGGTGGCCCAGCAGCTGGCCAGCGCCCTCAGCTACCTGGTGTGTAGCCTGGAGACAGGTCTGGTTGACGGGGGAGGGCTGGAGAGACCCCAGTGCACACAGTGACCCTGGGAGAGCTCCCCCTGGAACTCTGTTCTACAGAGCACACTGCTTTCTACGTAACAGTTCCTAAGCATGTTGATTCACGACATGCATTACGATCTCCACCAAGTCACATCGGATCTGACTGGTACAGGAGGAGATTGTCCCTCCTTCTCCAGCAGAGCATCTGGTGGGTTCAAGCCGCGCACCTCTAGGATTGCAGTGCAGCTTCTTGTTACTAAGCCACCAGAGCTCGCCCCACATCCTCCTGTTGTTTACTGTCTCCCTTGGCTCTTCATGCCAGCCCCTTCCTGCCTTCTAAGCTTTATCCCTGGGCAGATAGTGCCTTTTGATCCCTGACCCCAGAAACTCTTCCAGCACCCCACCTGGTGTCAGAACCTCTTAAACTCACACACCCTGTGGCTCCCGTCGCCCTCTGGAGAACGCCCTGCTCCTCAGCTTGGCGTGCCAGGCCTTGCTGAGAACACACTTGTCATCCGTCCCACCCTTCTGCTCAGTCACCTCGTTTCTAAGCAGCCCCCAGGCACTCAGTGCTCAGGGAGCACACCCTGGAGGCTCACCCTGTCCCAGACCGTGTGGACATATCAGGCAGAAAAACAGAAGTGTGTCCTGGGAACCAAGCAGTTTAACGGGGAGAGACCAACAAGACAATGTGCACAGTAGTTGTTAAAATAACCACAAGGACCTGTGATTACACATTGTCTTCAGCTGAGGGGCTGGCGGTTCTAACCCACGAGCTGCGGCAAGGCGGAGAGATGGGCGGTCTGCTTGTTTAACACGTTGCCGTACACTTTCTAAATTGACGACTGTGCTTAGAAACACATTTGCTGTCATTTGTGGCAACGTGTTAAAGAATACAGCTCTGGAAACCCCATTATTGTTGCACACCAACCAATTGGAACTGAGCCGTAACCGAGCCACCAGCTGGTTTTCAGAGGCAGTAAACTAGGTGATTGCCCATCTTTCTCTCACTGACCACCTGGTGGATTCGAACCACAAACCTTTGCATTGGTAGTGCAATTCCTTACCACTCAGCCACCAGAGCTCGCTGAAAACCTTATTGGGGGCTAGTCCTCTTCTAGAGCGTTACCTACCGTAGTTGGATTTCACTCACCCACAGCGAGTTTAGGAGTGGCACAACGGTTAGGCACTTAGCCGCTCACCCAGAGGTTGGTAGTGCAAACCCACTGGTGGTTCTACTGATTTAAAACCCGGCAATCCGCATAGGGGCCCCTGGGGGGCAATTCTTTCCCATGAGATCAGTATGAGTGGGAATCGACTGGAGGCACCGAACAGCCCCAGGCAGAGCTGACAAAGTGGAGAAGAGCTGGAGTTCGGGAGGAAGGTCAAGGGAGCGTTTTCTCTGCTCAGGTCCGCTGAGGGCACTGAGATTGGAGGGAGAGCAGTCACCGGGTGGACGCCCTGGGGAATGAGCCGGTGGCCCAGGTTTGAGGACAGCAGTGACCTTCTCTGGTCCGCCAGCTCTGTACCCAGTGGTGCCCTGTCACAATGTATTAGTATTCTGATAAGGACAATGAATGTCCTTACTACCCTGCTGTCCTTAACAGCCGGGGCTGCCTGGATCGGGGACTGGAATAGGGTCTGCACCCCCACCCCCATGAGGACACCCCTCTCCTGCCCATCCTAGGAGGACAAGAACCTGGTTCACGGCAATGTGTGTGGCCGGAACATCCTGCTGGCTCGGCCAGGCCTGGCAGAGGGCACCAGCCCTTTCATCAAACTGAGTGACCCCGGCGTGGGCCTGGGAGCCCTCTCCAGGGAGGGTGAGGACCCAGGCAGGATTGGGCTTGGGGCAGGCCTCCCAAGGTGCTCCTCACCTTCGGTGACCTCCAAACCTACCCCCCTCCAGAGTGGGTGGAGCGCATCCCCTGGACAGCTCCCGAGTGCCTCTCCGGCGGGGCCAGCAGCCTGAGCACCGCAGCCGACAAGTGGGGCTTTGGAGCTACGCTCCTGGAGATCTGCTTTGACGGTGAGGCCCCCCTGCAGGGCCGCAGCCCCTCCGAGGTATGGCCACAGGACCCTGAAAAAGGCTTGGCCCATGCAGGATTCGGTGGGGGACCCAGAATCCTTTTGCATATGGCCTTTGGGGATGACTTACCACCCTGATTTCATAAGGTGTTTGCGGGGTTCAGATGCAAGAACAAGCACTCGGAAAGCCAGCCAGGGACAGGTTGTTTGGCTCCAGGAGCCAGGGCTATGAAAGGGGAGGTACACCTGGGGGGACCCCAAGGATACCCCACCCTGACAGAGCTGCCAGAGAAAGGTTCATGAGGTCACAGGCTACCCAGTGACAGTGCAAGTTGTGCAGGGCTTGGGGCCCTCTGGGAGCCATGGTTTCAGGGGCTGCCTTGGGGGGCGGAGGGAGGAGGGACCAGGAGCAGAGGTGAGAAAAGGTACAGCACGTCCAAGTCAGCTAGACTTGGATTCCAGTCCTGACTCTGCAGCCAGGGACAAGTCCTCTGCTGGTGGCTGAGCCTCAATGGCCTTATCTGTAGAATGGGAAGAACAGGGGCAGAGACCTGGCCAGTCCAGGCCTGCTGTTCTCCTGAGGCTGATCCCCCCTGTGAAGGGATCCTGACACTGGAGGGCTCTCTGTCCCCCACAGAAAGAGCGTTTCTACCAGAAGCAGCATCAGCTGCCCGAGCCCTCCTGCCTGGAGCTGGCCACCCTCACTGGCCAGTGTCTGACGTACGAGCCAGCCCAGCGGCCGTCCTTCCGCACGATCCTGCGGGACCTCACTCAGCTGCAGCCTCAGAGTGAGTCCTGTCCCACCTCCAGGACCCGGGGCTTGGGGACAGGGTAGAGGAGGTGGGACCCCACCAACAAGGACCCTTTGCTGATTCACGGGAGGAGAGCCTACTGGGAGCCTGAGGAATGTCTTCCATAGAGGCAGCTTTTGGGGAGCATTTAGACCCTCCTTGTTTTTATTCTTTCCAATCCTGTTGAAAAGCTGGGTCCTTAGGATATTACAGTACCCCTCAGTCGGTTTTGATGCAGCTGGCTCTGTGCCTTTGGGATAAGAGTTGAAATTTACATCTTCTGCAAAATTTTAGGGCAAACAAACGATTTCCTCACCCCTGGGGTAAGATGCAGGGTACTGGTGTCCACTTCTTGTGCACCCTAAAACATGGGCCAGTGGAGAGGGAAGAGGGTCAGGCCTCACCCTCTGCACCCCTTCCAGACCTCCAGGACTTGTTGGCTGTGAATCAGGACTTACCAGCATCAGACCCTACGGTCTTCCACAAGCGCTATCTGAAAAAGATCCGGGACCTGGGCGAGGTAAGGATGCGGCCTAAGCTGCCAGGAAGCCACCTGGCAGAGGGGAGTTGGGGTAAGCTAAGAAAACCTTCTATCAAAGCCTGGATAGCATGATGCCTAACATGGGGTGACTCCATCAGCTGCTCTGTGAGAGAAAGATGGGCAGTCCCCTCCTGCAAAGATTTACAGCTGTGGACATCTGACAGAGGTCCACTGTTAGCCTGAAGCCACTCATGGGCAAAGCTTAGACAGTGTGGCTGGAAGCGAGATAGCTGTGATGGGTTAGGACATTAAGTATTGACGTTAGAATGATCTGGAAATTGGGTACCTGAGGATTAGAGGAAGGAGCCTTGAAAACGAGTAGTTAGATGAAGGACTTTATCTCTGAACGCTGGAAATCAGGTTGCTGTGGGTTTTGGGTGTTGTTTTTTTCTTTTTCATCTGTTGCTTGTTGTTTAGCAAGTTACTAGAATTTCGTAAGGAGGTGCCCATATAATTCAACCCTTGTGCTTTATTTCTTGAAGAAGAAAGTTACTTATGGGACTAAGTATTTAAGGAAAGAATTTTTTTTTAAATTTAAGGGAAGCTAAGTAACTTGTTATGCGTCGGAGTTGGACAATGACTAGGGAGGATAGAAGGATTGATGACTTTGAGCTGTGGTGCTGGAGAAGAGTATTGAGTATACCATGGACTGCTAAGAAAACGAAGAGGTTCAGCCTTGTTGTTGTTGTTATGTGCCGTCGAGTCATTTGCGACTCATAGTGACCCTATGTACAACAGCCCTAAACCCTGCTCTATCTGTGCCAATCGCACTGCCTCTGACACACCCATGCCGATTACCCCAATCACTGAATCAGTCCACCTTATAGAGGGTCTTCCCCTCCTGCGCTGTCCCTCTACTCTACCCAGCATGATGTCCTTCTCCAAAGACCTGTCTCTCCTTACAACATGTCCAAAGTATGTCAGATGAAGCCTCAGAATCCTTGCCTCCAAGGAGCAGCCTGGTTTAATCCTCTCTACGATGAATCTGTTTGTTTTCTTGGCAGTCTATGGTACATTCAATACTCTTCTCCAGCACCACAGCTCAAAGGCATCAATTCTCCTATCCTCCCTACATCCCTAAACCCTTCTCTCTCCTATGCCAATAACACTGCCTCTGACACACCCATCCCGATTACCCCAGTCACTGAATCAATCCACCTCATAGAGGGCCTTCCCCACCTGCACTGTCCCTTCACCCTCCCAAGCATGACGTCCTTCTCCAAGGACTGGTCCCTCCTTGCAACATGTCCAAAGTATGTCAGACGAAGCTTCAGAATCCTTGCCTCTAAGAAGCAGCCTGGTTTAACCCTCTCTAGGCTGAACCTATTAATGCCTTTGAGCTGTGGTACTGGAGAAGAGTATTGAATATACCATGGACTGCTAGGAAAATGAACAGTTTTGTCCTGGAGAGAAGCCCCAGAATCCTTGCCTCTAAGAAGCAGCCCAGTTTCATTCTGAAGCTTCGTCTGACATAGGAGAGAGAAGGGTTTAGGGATGTTGTACATTGGGTCGCTATGAGTTGTAGGCGACTCGAAGGCACATAACAACAACAAGGGCTTTTTTGGAGGAGGGTCTAGGGAGATGTGGGCAGGGCCACTTCTCAGCTTCAGAACCAAAACCCAGACCCACTGCCAGGTTCCCGTAACATTGCCCTTCTTCGGGTTTCTGAGACTTGTATATCTTTATGGGAGATTGGACATCTTTCTCCTGAGAAGCATCCAATCAGATTTGAACCGCTCACCTTTGGATTAGCAAGCCAGTCACCAGAGTTCCTTTGGCGGGACGTAGGGCTTTGAGTTGTGATGTCATAGAGTTCTGAATATCCATCCCATGGACTACCAAAAAAAACTAACAGATATGTCCCGGGAAAGGTGCGGCCAGAGTGTTTCTTGGAGGCAAGGATGACCAAGCTTGGCCTTTCATACTTTGGTCATGTAGCTAGGCGGTGCAATTTCTTGCAAAAAGACATCTTTGGAAAGATGGAGGGTGAGCGAAGACGACCTCCAGCAAGACGAATTGACACTGTGACTTCAGCAATGGGCCCTAGTGTCTCAGAGATGAGGATGGCGCAGGATAGGACAGGTTTCAGGATGGCTGTCCACAGGGTCGCGATGAGTAGTACTCAACTTGAAGGCACCTAACAACAGGGCTTTGTAAAGTATACCTGGGTCGGTGGCTGAGGGGTCTGCGAGGCAAAGGCAGCCTTCTCTCGATGGGTCTAACTGTCTTGCGTGTTCGCGCTCTCTGACCAGGGTCACTTCGGCAAGGTCAGCCTGTACTGCTACGACCCGACCAACGACGGCACTGGGGAGATGGTGGCCGTGAAGGCCCTCAAAGCAGGCTGCGGCCCCCAGCTCCGCTCGGGCTGGCGGCGCGAGATCGACATCCTGCGCACGCTCTACCACGAGCACATTGTCAAGTACAAGGGCTGCTGCGAGGACCCAGGTGGGCGGGCCAGACTGGCCAATCAGGCTGCGAGGACCCCAGGTGGGCGGGCCATTGGGGCCAGCCTGGCCAATCAGGGTACGGGGCACAGACTTGGCCCGGGAGGGTGGGCCAGCCTGGCCGATTGGGTCATGCAGCCGCAGGCTGTGCCCAGGTAGGCGGGCCCACACTGCCAGCTTGGCCAATCAGGCCACGGAATCTCAGGCTGTGCCCGGGTGGGCGGGGCGCGTGTTGCCTCTTCCCACCTGGAAAAGTTGGGCTGGTTAGAGGCGGGTCCATCCCACCTGGATCAAGGGCCAGCCGTGGACGGGATTTGGCGCCTGGGAGCCCAGCGTTGGCCCTGCAGGGCTGGGGAGAGGGGACTCTTGTCTGCTGACCGCCACCAACGCTCCTCTCGGTGGCAGGCGAGAAATCAGTGCAGCTGGTCATGGAGTACGTGCCCCTGGGTAGCCTCCGCGACTACCTGCCCCGGCACAACGTGGGACTGGCCCAGCTGCTGCTCTTCGCCCAGCAAATCTGCGAGGTGGGCCCTCCCTCCGCTGCAGCGAAGTTCCCTCCGGAGCGCTTGCCCGCCCCGTGCTGCCTCTTCTTGCTTGGTCTTTCAGCGTGACCCATCCAGGGCCCTGTTCAGTTGCCCTTTCGCTTGGCCACGCACCACGCACTCCTCTCCCAGGACCTCACCTGCCAACTTGGCCAGCAAGCCTGGGTATACTCCCTAGGAAGGTGCGCTGTTTTAAAGGCTGCGCCTTTCTTGCCGCTTGAATCCAGCAGCTGTGCCCAGGGAGAAAATATTAGTGGGCACCGCTCGAGATTTACAGCCTCAGAAACCCAGTTGGAGCGTCAGTTATGAGTTGGTTCCAGCGAGCTCTGTTGGCCTAGTGGCAAGAAGCTGCACTGCAATACCAGAGGTGCCTGGTTTGAAACCAGCAGATGCTCTGCTAGAGAAAGAGGGACAATCTCCTCCTGTACTAGTCAGATCTGGTTTGATGGTACACACACAAAAAAAGTAATAAAATTTTGGGGGAGCTCTGGTGGCCTAGTGGCAAGAAGCTGCACTACAGTCCCAGAGGCGCACGGTTCGAATCCACCAGATGCTCTGCCGGGGAAGGAGGGACAATCTCCTCGTGTACCAGTCAGATCTGATTTGACGGTACACACAAATAATACCAATCAATTAGTCAATCAATCAATAAAGAGTTGGTTCCAACTCCTCCGACAGCGAGTTAATTAGCAAGCCTGGGTCCTTGGGATGCCCTTGCCCAGGCCTCTCTGCCTTGACCCCACCCCGACTTCCCAGCTCTGCCCGCTTTTGCTCAGCCCTGGCTGCCATCCTGCCTGCTCTCGGGACTGGGACCCCTGCACTTGAGCTGGGTCTCCAGTCACCGTCACCACCCTCTGCGCCCCGCCCCCAGGGCATGGCCTACCTGCACTCGCAGCACTACATCCACCGGGACTTGGCTGCGCGCAACGTGCTGCTGGACAACGACAGGCTGGTCAAGATCGGGGATTTTGGCCTGGCCAAGGCGGTGCCCGAAGGCCATGAGTACTACCGCGTGCGCGAGGATGGGGACAGCCCGGTGTTCTGGTGACCAGGCGGGGCAAGGGGCAGGGTGCCGGGTTCACGTGGAGCAGACAGGGTGGAGGGGACACATGTTGGTCCTGCTGACCTTTCCTTTCTCGGATGGCACCCCAGCCGAGGCCAGGGAGGTCCCTCAGCTCGGAGGTGAAGGCTGACCCTCCTCTCTGTCTCACCCCTCCCCCAGGTATGCCCCCGAGTGCCTGAAGGAATGCAAGTTCTACTATGCATCAGACGTCTGGTCCTTCGGGGTCACGCTGTATGAAATGCTGACCCGCTGTGACTCCAGCCAGAGCCCCCCCACGGTGAGAGCCTGGCCCCCACTCTCTCCAGGAGTTCTCTAAAGGACTTGTTGTGTACCTTCGAGTCGGAACCGACCCGTAGCTGATCCTCCAGCGGTTTTCATAGGCTCTTAACCGCACAGGAGGAAATTGCCCATCCTTCTTTCTCAGAACAGCTGCTGCTGGCCTTGAACCACATGCCTTTGGGATTGCAGCGCAGCTTCTTGCTATTAGGCCACCGGAGCTCCCTAAAGGAGTTAGAAAGGCATATATTCAAATCCCAGGCCCTCACACCAACTCTAGCAAGCAACTATGAAGCAATTATGAGTCTCAGTCTTCAGAGCTGTAAAATGGGTCCTTTCTAGTGCAGAGAGCTTTTGACTGTCGTTGACGGAAATCCCGCTCAAATTGACAAAATTGGACCAGAAAACGCTACTACTTTTTTTTTATTCCCAGCATGGCAGGGGCAGGATTGATCTTGCGCTGCTGCTGTGAGTAGGGCGCCAGTTCTGTTCTCTACAGTAGCGCTGTCCTGAACAGAGGTATCCCTGCCTTTCGAGCTGTGGTAACTAGGATTCCCTTCCCGCAAAATGCTCAGGACTGCCCTCTGATTGGCCCGCCTTGGCTCCTGTGCCTACCTCAGCCTATCACTCTGTAGCCTCTGCGGAGGAGTCACGAGTATGCCAAGCACAACAAATCAGGCAATTGAGAAAAGAAAACCAGCATGTTGTGAAGAGTAATAGTAATTACAGACACTTGATTCCGATGCGTTTTTGAGATGTGCATTATCTGCCTGGAAGGCACTGTGGGTTATGCATTGAGCTGCAAATGGAAGGGTCAGCGGTTCAAAGCCACCAGTATCTCCTTAGAAATCAGATGAGGCCATCCGCTTCTGTGAGGATTTACAGCCTGGCAAAACAAACCCTCTGGGGCACATTGCTCTGCCCTCTCGGGTTGCTTTGGGTCAGAGTTGCCTTAACAGCTGTGCCTCGAATGTGGTGGATTATTTGTCCCCCTTTCACAAGAGTCCTAGGCAGTGGAGATCGTTATTGCCCCATTTTACAGATTAACAAAACTGAAGCCCAGTAAGGTGAAGTCCTAAGTCCAGATTCAGGCAGCTGAAACGTGGGAGAGTTGGACCCAGGACCCATGCGGTCCAGCTCCTATGTGGGAGCCATTGACCTGAACACAGCACCACTTTTTTTTTGGGGGGGGGAATAATAATTGTCTCTCCTTCTTTAGAAATTCATGGAGCTCCTAGGCTTCACTCAGGGCCAGATGACAGTACTGAGGCTCCCTGAGCTGCTGGACCGAGGGGAGAGGCTGCCTCGGCCGGAGGCATGTCCGTGTGAGGTGAGCCCTCTCCGTGACCCTGCCCTGCCATCGGGCAGTGCAGAGAGCAGGGCTCACAGCCCCACTTCTTCCCTCGCCAGATCTATAACCTCATGAGGAACTGCTGGGAAGCAGAGGCCTCCTTCCGCCCCACCTTCCAGAACCTCATCCCCATCCTGAAGACCGCCCACGAGAAGTACCGGGGCCAGGCCCCCTCCGTGTTCAGCGTGTGCTGAGGTTGGGTCAGGTTCCCCAGACGGGAGTCCTCCACACCCACCCTGTGCCTTACTCCTCCCTGGACACGCCGCCTCTGTGAACTGACTTTCCTCCTCTAGTCATGAGGCTCTGAGGGGCTTGGGACGGGCAAAGGGCTAGTCAAGCCTGTGGAGCTGACCCTCTTGCCTTCTCTGAACTCCTGCCTTTCCCATTCACCCTCCACCACCCGCGCATGAATTCCTCTTTCCTGGAGGCTGTAGTCCTTGGGTCCCTTGTTTTTCCAAGTTGGCATGGGTCTGCTTCTGCGGGAGCCCCAACTTCTTGTTGCACCGTGGAGTAGGAACTGACCCATAGATGACCCTCCAGCTGGTCATCAGAGGCACTAAGTCACCCTGCGGGAGATTGCCGTCCTTCTGTGGAGCAGCTGGTGGATTTGAACCACGTGCCTTTGGGATTGCAGGGCAGCTTCTTAACCTGTAGGCCACCAGGAAGCTGCAACTAGAATTTGCAGAGGAGGAAGGATACTGTTAAACCCACCTCTGAATCTCCACCTACCACAGGTCCTAAAGGTGCTAGGAGGCCCTGGTGCACAGAAGGCCTTGTTGAGTACACAGAGATCGTTAGGGCTCCACACGGCCTGTGGATACGTGAGACTCTGCCGGTTCTACCCCATCCTCCCTGTGTGACCTCCATTCCTGACTATAAAGTTGGGGCCCTCCTGCCTGCTGCTTCCTGGGTCCAGTGTGGAAACCTGACCAGGTCGTGTGTGGGAAATGGTTAGCAGAGAGACCGCCAGCAAGACGTGCTTAATAAACATTCCAGGTCATTACAGGTGTGTTAACACGAGTGCGTGGACCAAGGCCACTGCTGGAGACCAGAGACGGTGATGTAATCACACGTGTCTGTAGGAGGCTGTTCCTGACTTTGCCACGAGACTTTTCTAAAAGCCTTTGTGTACTGTGGCTCCTCCGATCAAACCCACTATTTTAAGAGCCATCACTTTTTATAACATTTTCTCAAATAAACTTTTTCTATAATTAAGCAGCTGTTTTTCAAGGCATCAGTGGGAGAATCACACTTTTATTTTGGTAGAGGGGAAAAAACCCAGCCCACTGACCCTTCAGCACGTTTCTGAGGCTGTCGAAGGAAAGCGAGGCGACTGCCCATCTTTATCCCGTGGATTTAAAACTCTAGAGTCACTTCGGATCAGCAGCGCCAACTCCCAACAGACCGTTGGAAATGACCCCTAACTGGCCCTCTGGCCGGTTTTCAGAGGCAGTGACTCGATCGGGAGATTGCCCATCATTCTCTCAGAGCAGCTGGTGGATTTGAACCACGTGCCTCTGCATCGACAGCACAGTTCTTTACCACTCAGTTCCCTCCCGACAACCACACGGCAGTTCCCAGACGGCATACTTCCTGAGCAGCCACCACCCCTCCACCTGTCAGCAGAGGATCACGTTCCACTAAGATGCTATATGGGTTTCAGCTGAGTTTCTGGACAGACAGACTAGGGAGAAAGGCCTGGTGTTCTCCTGAAAATCTGCCAGTGAAAACTACATATGGGTCATGATACTCTGATCTACGGCCAATCATGGAGGTGGTGCCGGCCAGGGAGAGTTTGGTTGCATTATGCATTGTGAATTAGCGGGGTAACTTAATGGGTAAGTAACAGTGACAATACCAATGTGGTTCCAAATTCAGGAAGCGTGTAAGGACAGGCAGTAATGTCTCCTTTCTCTGTCCCTCAACTACCTCTCTCCCTGGAAGCGGCCAGCACCCTCACGTCTTCTGTGTGGGACAGGAAGATCTGTGTTACGCTTTCCCATCTTTTACAGAAATAGTCCCAGGCTCTCTAACGGAGCTTCTCCTCCGTACCTTGCTTGCTGTGTTTCCTGTAATTGATCCTGGAGGTGGTCCCAGGTACCCAGGCGTTCAGAAAGTCCTCACACTGTTTTTGTGGTTGTGTTTGTACCACTGGGTGGTACAGATGGTCTGTGCTCAAATAATCTAAAGGCTGTCCACTCGCACCCACCCAAGGGAACTGCAGGGGAAAGGCCTGGCAATCTCCTTCTGTAAAGATTACCGCCCCGAAAACCCTACAGAACTGTTAGGGCATGAGGTTGCCAAGGATCAGAATCTACTCCATGGCAACAACTCTGTTTCATTTTTAAAATTTTTTTCTTTTAATTGTAATTTTTAACAAAAGTTAACAGAAGAGTTGGATTTTTACTCACTTGTTGTATATAGGGTTTTCGAACAGAACATTTGCTTATGCAAAACCTATACTTGGACCAAGAGGCAGTCGTCAGAACAGAGCAAGGAGACACTTACATGGTTCAGAATCAAGGAGGGGGTCCGCCAGGGATGTATTTTGTCTCCATACATTTTCTTTTTTTTTTTTTTTTATTTTGTGTGCGTGTACCGTCAAATCAGATCTGACTGGTACAGGAGGATATTGCGCCTCCTTCTCCGGCAGAGCATCTGGTGGGTCTCCATACATTTTCAATCTGTATGCAGAACAGATCATCTGAGACACTGGGCTGCATGAGGAGGAACGTGGCATCAGGATTGGTGTAAGAGTCATCAACAATCTGCATTATGCAAATGACACAACCCTGCTTGCTGAAACTGAGGAGGACCTAAAGCGCTTGCTGCAGAAGGTCAAGGACTGCAGCCTCCAATATGGATTGAAGCTCAATATCAAGAAGACAAAGTTCTCACCACTGGGCCAATTGGCAACATCAGTATGGATGGTGAAGAGATGGAAATCGTTAACAGTTTTCGTTTTCTTGGTTCCGCAGTCAACACTCTTGGTACCAGCAGCCAGGAAATCAAGAGACGAATTGCATTGGGAATGTCAGCTGTCAGAGACCTCTTAAGAGTATTGAAGAGCAATGATGTCAGGCTGTGAGGTGTGCCTGATCCAGCTATAGTCTTCGCAATTGCATGCTATGCATCAGAGAGCTGGACAGTGACTAGGGATGATAGACAGAATTGATGCCTTTGAGCTGTGGTGCTGGAGAAGAGTGCTGAATATACCATGGACTGCTAGGAGAACAAACAGGTTTGTCCTGGAGAAGGTGAAGCCAGACTGCTTCTTGGAGTTGAGGATTCTGAAGCTTCGTCTGACATACTTTGGGCATGTTGCAAGGAGGGACTGGTCCTTGGAGAGGGACATCATGTTTGGGAGAGTGGAGGGACGGCGCAGGAGAAGACCCTCGAGATGTATTGATTCTGTGATTGGGTTGGTGGGAGTAAGTGTGTCGGAGACGGTGAGGTTGGCACCAGATAGAGAAGGATTTAGGGCTCTTGTACATAGGGTCACTGTGAGTCGTAAGCGACCTGACTGCACATAAAAACAACATTGTTGTACATTTTCCTCTCTTCCTCTCTTCCCCCTCCCCCAGTTCACTGTCTTTTTTTCCCCCTCTGCTCTTACTGGACCCTGGGGCTTGTTCTGCCGTGTCACAGGCCAAGCCAGGTGGACACTGCGTGCTGGGGGGTGCTGGCTCTACTTCTGCTCCTTCTCCATGAGCTGCTCCTGTAAGGGCCCCTCAGTGTCACCTTTGGGGTTTCACTGCTTCTCAGGAAACAGGTTCAGGAAGGCCTGTCCATGAGCCAACTACACATAGGTGACCGTGCAGTCTGGCTTTTTTCACCCACGTATTTCTGTCATCTTATTTCCTGTTGGAACCATGTTTCCTCCTGCACCACGGCCACCGGGCCACCACCAGCACCTGGCAGATGCTCTGCAGCTCGTTTCTGCGGTCCACCCTGGTCATGTCCGGTGGCATCCGGAGCTGCGCAGTGTCAGCAGGCTGGGCCGTGTCAGGCCCCACCAGCTGGATGAAGAAGTGGGTTTGTTGAAACACACGGAGCTGGGGCAGCAGGTACGGCACATTCTGCGCCCCATTTTCTCATTTTTAATCGTTCATTGTTGCTCAGCATTCTGTTTTGGGTTGGTTTGGGTTTTGTCCCAGTGACCTGTTGCTGAAATGTCACCAGCATCTTTTCCCCATTGGCATTTTTCTCAGGAGCCCTGGTGGTGGTGTAGGTTAAGCTAACCAAAAGGACAGCAGTTCGAACCCATTCACCACTTTGAGGGAAAAAACATGGCCGTCAGCTTCTGTAAAGATCTCAGCTCTGGAAGCCCTGGGGAGCAGGTTGGCCCCTTTGTAGGGTCACTGTGAGTTGGAATCAACTCAATGGCTTGGTTTTGGGGTTGGTCATTTCCGGTTCTTTTTCGCTGCAGTGAGAGATTGTAGATGTACACAGTCTCACCCATGGGCAAGGGCACTGCAGGATGACCCTCTAGCTAGGGATGGCTGCTTGCAGGGCCTGGACCCAGGTATTTGGAAAGGTGCTGCCCAGTACACTTCAATATATGAAAGGCTCTTTTCCCCCATTTCTTTTCACCTTTTCCTCCCTTCCCCCCCTTTTTTTTTTAATTTAGTGTGCTGTCGAATCGCATGTGACTGGCACAGGAGGGGACTGCCCCTCCTCCAGCAGAGCATCTGGTGGATTCGAACCATGTATCTTCAGGATTGCAACACAGCTTCTTGCCACTAGGCCACCAGAGCTGCCTTTCCCCATTCCTTTTTAAAAATTATCTTCATTTGCTATTGTGCAATTACCTTTTGTTAATTTGTGGTGCGTTATTTTTAAAACAAAAAACCTGAAAAACCTTTTATGTGAACAAATTAAAGTATATTCAACACTAGAGAGACTAGGATGAATTGGACTTTGCTGTCACTACACACATCAGGAATGTGGTCAGGATCAGAGGAAGACTCATCAACACCCTGGCTTATGCAGATGACATAGCCTTGCTTACAGAAGGTGATGGAGACCTGAATCAGTTTCTCCAGAATTAAAAGACTACAGTCTTCAGTTTGGTCTATAACTCAGCATCAAAAAAGCAACAACCTCACCATCAGATCAACAGGCAGAATCGAGATAGGTGGAGAAAAGAGTGAATTTGCCAATGGTAGAATTTGACTTGAATCCATAATCAACA